CTTTTTTAAAATCTAGTGTTTATTTTTTAAATTTGTAATAATTTGACTTTAAGGAGTTTTTTCTATTTCCTTTTCAATTAATAATTTCAAACCTTTCATCAATTATTCATCACTTAATGTTTGAATTGAAATATTTTTCATTTGATTTGATTATTTAATTTTATCAACACTTAAGAATTATTCTGTCATCAACTTTTCACTTATTTCGTTCAACTTTTTATTGTAATTCTTTCTCATATGCGCTAATTAGTTAAATAATTCAGATTTTTTTTCTTTACTTTCTTTTTTATATTATTCTAATATTTTTTCAGTTTCTGTATTGCATTCTTTCCATTACTTGTCTACATTTTCAATAGTCTGATATTTAGATTATGGATTCTCTTATATACAATCCACACATGCAAATCTATCTTCTAACTTTTTATTTTATGGATCCATATCAATCATAATTATTTCTTTTTTATGATTGTTACAAATTCTATTTAAACTTGGTGTTTTCTATTCATAATAAATATTATATGCTGAATCATTTTTGGTTACATTTGAAGGTATTAATTCAATTACATTATTGTCCATAATATCTTTTATTGTCTCTTTTGTATTCTTAAATGTGTCTAAAGTCTAAAAGTATTCAGAACTATTAAACAAAAGTTCAAATTATCTTTATATTTCATTAATGAAATGATTATCTTCTATTAATTTAGGTGAACTCTATTATTCTTAAGAGTATAATTCTGATAACCATTTTATATCTTCAAAATAATTTAATTATGATTCATATTCTTATAATTCTTATTTTTCTTTCTAAATCGGAAATATATATTATTATATTTATTTATACATCTTCTCCAAAGAATCATTAATTGATTATTTAAAATCCAAAATTTGATCTAAAATAACTTTATAATAGTTGAGCCTTGCTTAATTCTCTTTTGTTTTGATGTCTTTTTATTATGCCTTTACCAAATAAATTCTCTCTTTGGATTACTCTATTGTAGTAACTTTATTATTATTTATTTTCTCAACTAAACATTTACAACAAAAGAATTAGATCTAGGCCTTATTTGATAGGCCTAAGTCAACTGCAAAGAATTCTAGATTATGAGTTTTGCAAATTGTTTCTTATGTTTCTTGTACTTACTTTTGATTTAAGATATTCATTTATATTATTTAATTTAATTATTGTAATTATAAGCAATAAAATCACTCTTTATTTGACATATTAAACTTCTAATTCTATTACTAATTTTTAAATATAAGAATTTTAATTTATTTTATATATATTATTATAAGTAAAATTTAGAACAACTACTAAGTATAAACTAAGCTAAATTGCTGTGAGATTTGAATTATAAATATTATAAGTTTAAGGATATAGAAAATAAGCAAATTGAAATTATTTGTAAAAATTATGAATCATTCATCTTAAAAATACTGTTTATAAATTAAATAAATTACATATTAGTTTTGCTTATTCTTAAAGACATAACATTTTTACAAGAATAAATTTAAGCC